TCAGAAATATAGACAGATACTGAAAGGCCGAAACGTTGTAATAAATATGGCGACAAAGATGAGGACAATAGTCCGAATAATTTAAATAGTGTACATAATACTCATCTCAGAAATATAGACAGATACTGAAAGGCCGAAACGTTGTAATAAATATGGCGGCAAAGATGAGGACAATAGTCCGAACAATGTAAATAGTGTACATAATACCTCATCTCAGAAATATAGACAGATACTGAAAGGCCGAAGCGTTGTAATAAATATGACGGCAAAGATGAGGACAATAGTCCGAATAATGTAAATAGTGTACATAATACCTCATCTCAGAAATATAGACAGATACTGAAAGGCTGAAACGTTGTAATAAATATGGCGGCAAAGATGAGGACAATAGTCCGAATAATTCAAATAGTGTACATAATACCTCATCTCAGAAATATAGACAGATACTGAAAGGACGAAACGTTGTAATACATATGGATGTCAGTTATCTCCTATTGTATACGCTCTACAAATTCTTCACTGCCTTAACCGGGTATTGAACTTACACTCTTTGGGTCCTGTCACTGGATCTAACCAACACCTTTATCCACTGTGCCATGTGTCTTTGTCCAGAAATTCATACATAGATGTCCTCAAGGACACATCCTGCTATTTAGCTGGGAGGTGATAAGAGATGGATTAATACCTTTCCCAAGGGTATTAGTACATAAGTGAATGTAATGAACTGAACTGGATTTCGAACTTGGATCTTCGATTTTACAATTCGAGCAGCAATTGATTACATGACAGTATTTTCTAGTTGTGTTCTCATGAAAAGTAATTTCTCACATTTAATTCAGTCACAAATAGAAAAAACAAAAAACAAAACAAAACACAAAACAAACTAACCGTTAATAATTTAATTCATTGCAGGCTTAACCAACTTATCCACCAAGGAACTTCATCGGGATTACCCCACTTGTCTGCCAAGGAATTTCATCTTGCAGATGCTAGATGGCGCTGCCAAAAAGCAGCATAAAAGAAAAAAGTGCGTAATATCTCTATTTTTTCCTCTTTTTACTAACAGGTTGCCGTAGGGACAAGACGTGCCTCGTTACTTCTACTGGGGACTTCTTAGTCCTCACAAATTATTTATTACATTGTACGCAATGTAGCATACAAATACTCTGAGCTGATAACTCTATCGAATAAAAAAACTGCAATTCTGACAGCGTCTTCAAGAGGATTTTAAACACTCCGTACATACAAATAAAGGTATCTATCTATCTATCTATCTATCTATCTATCTATCTATCTATCTATCTATCTATCTTTTTTTAGTCTGTTTTTATTTATCTGTCTATCTATCTATCTGTCTATTTCAGTCTGTTTCTATCTATCTGTCTGCCCTTTTATCTATCTGCCTATTTCAGTCTGTTCATATCTATGTAGCAGATTATGCGTGAATAAACGAGGAATTAAAAATCTTCAAACACGTACTAACACATTTTAATAATTTTTATTTATTGGGGTATTATTTTTCTTTCGAATTGAAAGAAATGGATTACAAAAATACTTTGTGAACAACTTGAACAAAATGTTCTATGCATCGTTTTTTACAGTGCAACTGAATGAATTGCGTTAGGATAGGTTAAATGTAATTTTAAAATAAAAATAGGCATTGAAGTGGGGGACTGGCTATTTTGTAAGTTAATCTTAGCACTAATTTTCACAGCTATGATTAATTGGATCACATACCGAGGTAAAAGCGTTTCTTTCTTTTAAAAGCAAGGAAATGACTACACACAAAATTTAGATAGTACAGTGTATAGGGTTATTAAGTTCACTTCTTTTTTTTTTTTTTTAAAGAACTTCCTGGAGGAGTGAATTAAAAGATGAACTGAAGTGGGTGAGTCAAACGAATTTGGCTTTGCGAACCGGATTGAAGCAAAAACTAGGTCACGTTGGCTGCTTTAAGACATTTTTTCCGCCAACCCAAACATTTATTCCTCGAAATGGTCAAATGACTCAATATGCATAATAACAACTTTATTGACAATACAGGAAGGAAAAAATTAGATATTGTCAAAGTGTATGTAGAGATGCAAAATCCTGCAAAATTTGGTTACATCGCTCTTCATCGAACTGGACGGCCAGAACGAGGTGCGTCTTTCAGGTCAAAATTTCGAACGAGTCCATAAAGATGAGGAAAACAGGCCGAACGATATAAATCGTGTAAATAGTTACAATATCTCATCTCATAAATATAGACAGATTCTGAAGAAGGTCGGAGCGTAAAAGGGCTGAAACGTCGTGAATATGGCAATAAAAATGAAGACACCATTCCGAATAATGTGAATAGTATAAATAGGAAACAGTTCATCTTTTTTTTTTTATATTTTTTTTTTTAATTCTTAGCAATGAACGAAATAGCAGGGTTGACTTAGCTCTATAGCATTGAGTGGTAGCTAGTCTAAGGGAAGGCTACTCTGAATACAAAGCCATGGAGATGGCAACGGGACGTCACTGATCCGTTTCAAATCTAGGGCTTATCTAATGCCCTCTAACGAGCTCAGATGTTCAACGTTGAATGTTTCAGCAAAGATAACTTTGTTAAATGCTATGTAATTTCTGTTGACCTTTTTATAAACTTCCAAATTTTACTCAATTTCTGAACAAGTTCAGTGCATTATCGTTGTCCAATCAAATAAAAAAAATACTAACATCTTTCTTTAGGTTTCGTACCAGAGTTACTTAGCAACCGAAAAACCAAGTAAAATGGTAACATTTAAAAATAAAAATAACCAAAGATATTCGTACAATTTACAACTCTTACTGTTTGGATTTTTTTAATTTATGAGATTTTTTTCAGTATCTGTTTATATTTCCGAGATGAGGTATTATGTACATTATATACATTATTCGGACCATTGTCCTCATCTTTGTTGCCATATTTGTTACAATGTTTCGGCCTTTCAGTATCTATCTATATTTCTGAGATGAGGTATTATATACATTATTTACATTATTCGGACTATTGTCCTCAACTTTGTTGCCATATTTATTACAACGTTTCGGTCTTTCAGTATCTGTCTATATTTCTGAGATGAGGTATTATGTACATTATTTACATTATTCGGACTATTGTCCTCAACTTTGTCGCCATATTTATTACAACGTTTCAGCCCTTCAGTATCTGTCTATATTTCTGAGATGAGGTATTATGTAAACTATTTAAATTATTCGGACTATTGTCCTCATCTTTGTCGCCATATTTATTACAACGTTTCAGCCTTTCAGTATCTGTCTATATTTCTGAGATGAGGTATTATGTACACTATTTACATTATTCGGACAAATTGTCCACATATTTGTTGCCATATTTATTACAACGTTTCGGCCTTTCAGTATCTGTCTATATTTCTGAGATGAGGTATTATGTACATTATTTACATTATTCGACTATTGTCCTCAACTTTTTCGCCATATTTATTACAACGTTTCGGCCTTTCAGTATCTGTCTATTTTTTCAAACTATTTAAATTATTCGGACTGTCTATTTATTACATTTCAGCCTTTCAGTATCTGTTATGTACAATATTTACATTATTCGACTATTGTCCTTCTTTCTCGCCATATATTTAACGTATCGGCCTTTCAGTATCTGTCTATATTTCTATTGTGTACATTATTTATATTATCCGGACTTTGTCCTTATCTTTGTCGCCATACTTATTAGAACGTTTCAGTCGTTGTACGCTCCGGCCTTCATCAGGTGGTTGGAATGTCGACACAAGGACACATGGCACAGTGGATAAAGGCATTAGTTAGATCCAGTGACAGGACACAAAGAGTGTGAGTTCAATACCCGGTTAAGGCAGTGGAGAACTTTCAGAGGGAAATTAACAGGAGATAACTGATAACTGACATCCATTAAACATGGCACGTAGAACTAGAACAGTCTACCCCAGTGAGAGAAATAAATGGTTCAGTTCGACATTCCAACCACCTGAAGAAGGCCGGAGCGTACAACGACCGAAACGTTGTAATAAATATGGCGACAAAGATGAAGACAATAGTCCGAATAATGCAAATAATGAGATTTTTTCAGTTGGTCGTATGTCCGGGATTGCTGAACAAGTAAGTCGTTAAGTGAGGAAAAGCTGTATTCTGGTTCATTGCAAGAGACAAACAACATTAGAAGGACAATATCATCCTGATACGATTTTTTTTACAGTGAGAGTCACCTTTTAAAAGGCCTGGGTGCCCCTCAAGTTAGAGGTTTACGTTACGAGGCCATTTGTGTGTATAGGTGAAGGAGAAGTGCATATAGGTGAGTGAGATAACGATTAACCCTAGTCTTGAACATGTTAAGATTGTAGTAAACGTGGAAGTTGGGAGTCTGTTCCACATGGCATTGGTTCGCTAGAAGCTGCTGCTCGAGTGGAACTCACCGGTGGAATATGGAGGGAATGTGGGTGGTTTGCATGGCGTGATCTTTTCGTGAAGGTTTGCTTTGGCGGGACCAGCGAATGCAGTTCGTCCGAACACCTTCCGTGTGGGCAGCGATAGAGCAGCGAGAGGCTTACCACATCCCGCCTGTGGGAGAAGGGTTGAAGAGTGGAAAATATTTCGTCACCCCCAAGGACTCGGTGACGGTTTTGAGCTCTATCAAGGCTGGAAATTGAGGTCTTGGCAGCTACTGCCTAGATATGACAACAGTACTCCATTTTTAGTCTGATCTGGCTCTTGTTAAGTTAGGGGATAACAGGAGGAGTCAGATAGTTATTGGAGCGGTACAGGGTGCCGAACATTTTACCTGCATCCTAAGCAACGGTTCGTATATACGGGTTCCACTTGAGGTTGGGTGTAAGTTTCAGGCCCAACACTCTTTCAAGGCCCAATGATTTTCCGAGAGGAACTCTGTTCATCTTAATTGGTGGTCGTTCGGGATCAGATCGTCGATGATGGAACGTAACTAGCTTGGTCGTCGAGGATCCATTACACCACCCGCACATCTAACCTGGTATTCCTAAGCGGTCACCCATTTAATTACTGACCAAGCTCGACATTGCTTAACTTCGCTGATCGTACGGGAAGCGCTGTAAAATATTGACCTTCAAATTTTGTAATAAATGCTGGAATCTTCCGCCTCAGTTTAATATGGAATTCATAATTTTGTTGAAAGATATCGTAATCTCATAGAATGAGTCAAGGAAAATATTTTGATGACTGAATAACGAGGCTATGAAGTTATATAAGTAAAAGACTTTGAAAAAACAATGCCAAGAAATTTGTTTTCATTTATTTCATTATGATAAGTTTGGAAGTGCTCTATCAAATCTATTCTTGAAGATTGTTTAACCCACTTTTAAGGCAAGAGAGGATGCTGAATAGTTTGGGACTGAATCCGCTTTCTCAGGACCACGCCCTATTAGCTGGGGCTGTAGAATACGCCGACTGCACCTCTGCAGAGGAGTAAGATCCCCACCCAATAGGCGTCCTGTGTATGACGATAAACTACATCCTCACCCTGGGTAAGACGATAAACTACGTCCGGTAGCAAGGGCTCTGATCAGAAGGATTTGCGGAGCGTGGAATCATCTCTTAATTGTTGGTGATCCCAGGTCTACCCTGACCCGGAGCGGTAGCACCTGTTAGGGTCTCAGCTATGGACAAATAGTTAACCCCCAAAACAAGGGTCAAAACACTATGAAAGTGTAAAAATAGGTTTAAATACCAGAAATACTTTGTATAAAAGAAAAATTATTACCAGCAATACATTTTTGAAAAACAAATATTACCAGCAATACTTTTTTTGAAAAAAAAATATTACCAGCGAAGGCGAATTCTTACCAGAAATAGATTTTTGAGGGATAAAATATTACCAGAAGTAGATTTTTGGAAAAAAATATTACCAACAATGAAAATTTTGTTGGAATTAGATAACCCATTGAGGTTGATATACTGCAAAATAAAAGCAACTAAACCAAACCAAATCCTCAGCATCAATCCAATCAAATGACAAAATATCAGATTATTATTATTATTATTATTATTATTATTATTATTATTATTTTCTTTGATTTCTGGCGTTTACACATTTCTTTTCGGGTCCCGCCCAGGGACCTAAGGTTAAAAATGACATCATGACACTTTCCACTGACAAAAAGAAAAAATTACATAGATAAAGCCCTTCGTAAAGTGTGGGCTGTACTTGTCAGAACAATTTTTTGTATCTCCTTGAGGCATGGACTTCCCGGAATCCCTTCAATTAGTCTACTGCAATCTTTTCCAAACAGTCCTAGGGCTCCAACTACAACAGGGATTCTTGATGTTCCCATGTGCCACATTTTCGAGATTTCTATTTCAAGGTCATTGCATTTTGGTAGCTTTTTGAAGATCTTCAAAGATACATTGCAGTCTGCAGGGACTGCCATGTCAATAAGGAGGCACTTTTTTTTGTTTATTATTATTATTATTATTTTATTGTGGGGATGGATGGGAACCTTTTGAACACATGTGTAATGAATAAAACTATATGGAGTTTGATAAAAAATTTATCAGGATTGATGCTATAAAATGAAAACAACTTATAAATAGCCATAATTGTGCTGTTAGTTTTAGTGCGGACGCTTTTACCATCCTTAGCAGGTCCCACTCTAATTACCACCTGAAAGTGTTGGAGGCCATCTATATTCTATCTTTAAAGCCTTCTCTACGTAAACACAAGGACTTTGTATTAGGCCTCTAACTAATTACCATTTAAATATTTTTTCTCTCCCCCCAATACACTGTACATTGTTCTTTTTATTATATAATTTACTTTATTTCCCTCGATTTAGCTCTGTTGAGCGAGGTACGAAACCGGTTAGCTAACCCGTTTCTCATTTTTATTTTTTATTATCATGAGTGGTAATAATAAAACTAATTTTTGTCTGTTTATGGCAGTGATAAAATTTTGTACCACTAAACATATCTTTAAAATGAAAACTATAACACTTACCAATTCGGTAGTTAATCTCCTTCGGAGTAGTCCCCTTCTGAAGATAGACACATTATCTAACGTCATTTCCATTGATGGAAGCGTTACTAAGAATCCGTTTTGGGGACAGCGAGCAGCAGCCTCGTCGCATTCTCTTTAGATTTCCTCGGCGTCTTGAAATCATGTTCCTTTCAAGTGGGATTTGATTCTTGAAGAGAAAAAAGAATCGAGATCTGAAGTATATGGTAATTGTCGAACCTGGGAAATGTGGATCTTGGCCAAAATCTGCTGCACATGCTCTTGTCACCTCCAAAAACCTAAAAGAGCTTTTCGCGCGCACGGACGGATATAACTAGGATTAAAGAAGTAGTTAACTTAGAAATTTGGACGACGTACCGTAAACAACGCGCGGACGTAGTTTCAGTCAAATTACAAAACCATCATATCAGAATTAAGGATTCAACGTTGACAAATTAAACGGAAGATCAAAAATCTAAAATTGTGTCCAAGTTGAGCCTATCTCTACCGATATAAGCAGAGGAGAATTGGCATTTAAACAGAAGTATAGCGCCAGAGGATAAGCAACCACATCGACAGACCAGGAAAGACACATCTACTTGAAATATTGGTGTTGCAAAATTCCACTCATTACTCACAGACGAGGAATTTGACACGCCGATAAATAATTAGATTTATTTGTAAGTACGAGCTTCGCATACTAAAACCAAATACGCTCCCAAAACACGTGCGATTTATGACCAGCGCTTGCCGTTCCCACAACAGACGAATTGCTCTGAGAGAGACCCACCCTTTTTATTTTCCACAGCACTAGTGTTCCACCTAATAAATAGTTGTTACAGTTTGTTCGATAAATATATGTTTATTTCTGTTCCTATAGGTAGAGGCATTGCTACCTTGGGGCTGACGAAACAAAGCGTAGCCATCGCACCCTGTACACACTGGTGGAATATCTGTGCTGTGTTGAGATGACCACACTCTACACACTTTCCTTCCAAACATTGATATAGACAAGTGGTCTAGAACGTTCTAACTCAGTGTGTATGCGTGACAAATTTCAAGGGTAATCTATGCCAAGCTGCTTCACTCTGCATAGTTTAGCTCAGTTACCATAGCAACAGAGCTGATAGTTTTTGATCCGACCTCGTATACGTGTTAGTGATTGTTTTTATCTCTATGTAAAAATCTTGCTTTGTTTTCAATCACTTTCTTTGCTGACTGTTTCCGTGTCAAACAGATTTGAATCGCTTTCAGATCGGCCATCGAGAAGCTAAAATGAAGACTTAAAATACTGATTGTTTCTTATTATCTTTCGCCTGTGTGAAGATCTGTTCGTTTTCATTTCATCGCGATTTACGAACTGAAATATTAATTTGTATAAAGGAGAAAGATAGCTTCCAATAGAGAGCGCTTCTATCAAAGGAATTTTTTAAACCGAAAGCACTGGTTGGAAAGTCGTGTGTAAAATTGTCACAGAAAGAAAGAAGCGTCACTGCGTACATTATATATATATATATATATATATATATATATATATATATATATATATATATAAACAAAAAACAAATTTAAAAAACAATCCAATTGCTTTAGTCTATAAGATTCGGTTTTGAATCTGACCAAATTTTTTTCTGTTTTTTTTTTAAGAAAAAAAGTAGAAGAAAAAGTAAATACTATTTACATTATTCAGACTATTGTTCTCATCTTTGTCGCCATATTTATTACAACGTTTCGGCCGTTGTACGCGCCGGCCTTCTTCAGGTAGTTGGGATGTCGAACTGAACCCTTTATTTCGCTCACTGGGGTAGACTGTTCTAGTTCCAAGTAAGAAACATTATCACTACCATTTCAATTTCCTAGAGGAAACCTTATGATTATTTTTCAATTTCTTATGAGAAACATTATCAGTACTTTTTCAATTCTTTCTAAGGAAGCTTTATTACAATTATTAATTATTTTTAACTGTTTTTTTTTTACTTTCTTAACATTTATTAAATTTCTAGACTATTCCTTGTTATTGAATGATGTCAATTCAAATCCACGTTTCTTGAGGAGTCTTTGATGTTAGAGGTCATCTTCATTTGCTTACAAGAACATTCGCAGGTTGCATGTCATAGTTCCTGGCACCTGTTCGAATTGGTTGAATGACTACTTTCGACTCCGTGCCTATACAAGAAACATCAGTTTTCTTGCGATAGGACTGGTGTTAGGGGAGAGGGCGGAAACCTCCACTAAGCCCGTGAGAGTTCATGGTGGGTGGGCACTTGCGGTGTCCGTCAGGCCATAAGAAAAAAGAAAGATTCGACTCAGTTAAAAAGGGGGAGGTGCCAGTAACATAAGGATGCTATAAAGGGGAGTCGTAGAGCCGAGGTCAAATTCTGGTCTAATCTAATGCGTTCACCCTCGCACTAATGCCCTTGGGAAAGGCATGAATTCGTATCTTCTTCTCCAAGTTACTGAAAAATTAGAAAAGTGGACTAGAACAATGAAAGATAGTGGGCCATTCACGTGAAAAGTAAAGTAATTTTAAAAGTTACTCCAAAATTCGCTTGAGGATGAAATGGAACTAATGTCTTTAATTTAATTACAAAATTAAATTCGGGGCTTTTAGCTTCCATTTTTGAAACATGGTTAGAACTGTGTAGCGAAAAAAAACATATTTTAACTCAATTAATTTATAATATTAATGCTCTGTAAATTTACATTGAGCACTATTTTGTAAAAATAAAAATATCTATAAGAACACCGGATTATATATCTTTTACTGTTCTTTCTTTATATATATATATATATATATATATATATATATATATATATATATATATATATATATATAACATCTTCTATTGTCTTATAATTGCGCAATTCAGTACCGTATATAAAAAAGTTCTTTAATTTATTCTAGTCCTTCCTTCGTATGAAGGCGTTAATATAGGGTGTCCATGAAGCCATATTTACAGTTTCAAAAATGATTACAAAAGCAAATCAATAGACAATGTGGAAATTGTAACATAATGAGGAGTAGATATTAAATTTATTTTTTTAAATTAATTTAATCCACCTCTATATGGGCGCCATTAATTGTAGGAAGCACATCAAGACGACACTCGAAATCTTGCCATGTTTTCTGGAACATAGCCTCATCAGTGGTGGCAATGACATCAGTGATCTTTTGCTTTAGATCAGTGATGTCCCGTATTTTTGGTCGATACACGATATCTTAACATAGCCACATAGAAAGAAGGCAGGGGAGAGATATCTGATGAATGAGGTGGCCAGGGTATAGGGCCATCCCTTCCAATCAACCGGTCTGGAAATGTTAGGGGTTCATTTAACAGTACCTCTTTCATCAACAGGGTACCTGAAATATAAAATGCATTGTGATAAGAAAACATTGACAGCTACTGAGTATAGAGACCGTTTATATTTTATTTTTTTTCTCTCCTCCAACTAGTCCTTCCTTCATATTCAGGCCTTACTACAGGGTGTCTATGAAGTCGCTTTACAATTTTTAAAATATTACAAAAGCAAATGTAAAGACAAATATGTGGAAATTGTTACAAAATGAGGAGTAGATATTGAAGGTTTTTGACTAATTTAATACACCTGACCATTAGTTGCACAAAACACATCAAGACGACACTCGAAATCTTGCCATATTCGCTGTAACATAGCCTCATCAATGGTTTACCATTTGGCGCAAGTGCCTGAAAGATTTGTCCTTTGCATTTTGTAAGCGTACAATCACAAGTTCTTTTGTAGGACTTTTTATACTGTTGAACGTGGCAGTTGTAACTGTCTGGCACCAGTATGGATAGACATTGTAGGAGAACGCTGAAAGGATTGTCTTAAATCAGATCTTCTTGGTCGTCCACATCTTCCTTTATCCAACACTGTATCTGTCTCCATAAATTTCTCGTGTCATGCACGAACTGACGGACGTGATGAAGGATCTCTTCCATACTTAGTTCTATAGTTTCGCTGAGTCTGCGTATCCGATTTTGTTTCAGTAAACCATGAGACACATTGTGCTTTTTTTGAAGAGTCTCCATTTTGAGGGGTTCATTTAACAGTACCTCTTTCATCAACAGGGTACCATGAAATACACACATACAATGTGATTAAAATCTTTGATAACTACTGAGTACACAGAACAAATCCGATTAAAATATCTCATCAACTGACTTTGTAATATATTTTTTTAAATTGTGAAGATATTTTCTGGACAACCTGTACATATAATTCTAAAGTTATGTTTAAATTAAATTCTTAATACACCTACATATGGCATTTTAGATATAGGGGAACATTAAGATTTATTTTTATTAAAAAAAAAAGTGCGCCTTATATGCCGTCAAATACGGTAATTTAATACACCTCTATAAGGGCATCATTAGTTACACGAAACACATCATGACGGTACTAGATTTCATGCCATGTTCACTGTAGTATATCCTCATCAATGGTGGCAAATGGCGTAGGTGATAATTTGCTTTAGATCAGTGATATTCGATACACTGTATCTATAACATAACCCCATAAAAAGAAGTTCTGTAGTTACACTGAGTTTGCGTATCCGATTTTGTTTCAATAAACCATGTCACACATTGTGCCTTTTCTCGGGGAGTAGCCATTTTTTAGGGGTTCATTTAACAGTACCTCTTTCACCAACAGGGTACCTGAAAAATAAAATGCATTGTGATTAGAAAACTTTGATAGCTACTGAGTACACAGAATAAATCCGATTAAGATATCTCATCAATTGCCTTTGTAATATATTTTTAAATTGTAAAATGACTTTATGGACATCCTGTACGTCATAACACAAAAATGTGACATTTATACATATCTAGAGGGATTTATTATCAGAAGGATTTGGTTGTTAGGTAGATATATGAAAGTACTTATAATGTAGTTGTTAAATGTCTCTGATATTTGGGTTTGTCTTGGTGAATGTTTGAAAATGCTTAATTTAGGAGCTCACGAACATGCTGTCCCCAATGTGGTGGTCCACCATCTTGTTGGAATATCATGGTTGGTTGAAGGTCATGTAGTTGTGGTGCCACACCAACTGCCTTTTAAGATATTTTTTGAAAGTTTATGGATTCCTTTGTATATAACGGATATATTAATGCTTAACGTGCATTTTTTTAGAACGGTGAAAACCAACTCTTTTTTTGCAAGAATTCCATTAGTAACTTTGACTTTCAAAATGAAAACTAAACGTTGAAGTGGGCGAGTGGATATGGCGAGATGTAAATCCGAATTTATTTTGTTCAGTCTATATTTGATCGATCAAAAGTTAAAAATTCAAAATCTGAATTCAATATCTATTGGGCGTTAACTTATAATTATGTAAAGGAATTTAAAAAGGTGGCTATTATTATTTTTTAAACCACAACAAAGTCGAACATTTGACGAAACTGACGCTAAGAGATCATAATGAATGTGCAATCTGAAATCCAGCAGGCGAGAAAAAGAAAAAGAAAAAAAGGCACCGGTCCTGTAATGAACTCACAGAGAACAAACCGGGTTTCATGGAATATTTTTCAGATAATCTACGGACTGAGGAATTCTGTAAAATTTTTTTATTTTTACATATTAAGAATTGGTATTTCGATAAACCGCAAACAACGACTCTCTCTCTCTCTCCCTTTCTTTTCTCTTCTCTCTCTCTCTTCTCTATCTATCTATCTATCTATCTATCATATTTGTATGTATGTATGTATGTATATGTATGTGTGCATCTATATCTATTTATTATCTATATTCTATCTATCTATCTATCATCTATACTGCCCCTGTCCAATATCTATCTTTTATCTATCTATCTATCTATCTATCTTGCTCTGTCCATATATATGTATGTATGTATGCATATCGCATCCATTATCTATCTATCTATCTATCATCTATCTATCTATCTTTCTATCTATCTGGCTCTGTCCATAAATGTATGTATGGCACATTTATCCATCTTCTATCTATCTATTATCTATTTTGAACAAGATCTATTATATCTATCTATCTGTCCATCTGGCTATGACTTTTATCTGTCTATCCCCCATCCATCTATCTATCTATCTGTATCTATCTATCTATCCATCCATCTATCTATCTATCTGGTCATCCATCATCCATCTTCCTCCATCCAATTATCCATTGTTCTTTCTATCTATCCATCCATCCATCAAAATCCATTCCATCTATGATCCATATCCATCTGTTTCATCTATCCATCTATCTATCTATTATCAATATAGCTATCCATCTCCATATTATGATCAATGACAAATCTATCTAATATCTATCTATCTATCTATCTATCTATCTATCTATCTATCTATCTATCTGGCTCTGTCCATATGTATGTATGTATGTATGTGTGCATCTATCTATCTATCTATCTATCTTCTTTTCTATCCATTTTCTCTGGCTCTGTCCATATGTATGTTGTATGTTGTGTGCATCTATCTATCTATCTATCTTTCTATCTATCATCTATCCCTCTATCTATCTATCTGGCTTTCCATATGTATGTATGTTTTAATTTATCTATCTATCTATTCTATTCGTCATCTATCTATCTGTCCTGACCATTCTGTCTAACTATCATATCTGTTTCTATCTATCTATCTATCTATCTATCTTCTATCTATTCTATCTATCTATTATCGCCTATCTTGCTCTGTCCATATGTATGTATGTAGCATGCATGTGTGATTCATATTTCCATCTAAGCATCTATCTATCTGACTATCTATCTATCATCTATCTGGCTCTGTCCATATAACAAAATGTATGTATGTGAGAAGATATATATATATATATCTATATATATCTATATATATATATGTATATATATATCTATATCTATATATCTATCTATCTATCTATCTATTATCTATCTATCTGGCTCTTTAGATTATGTAAAAATGACATTTTGTTTATCTATCTATCTATTCATCTATCTATATATATCTATATATCTATCTATATATATCTGGCTCTGTCCATATGTATGTATGTATGTGTTATCATCTATCTATCTAAAATCTATCTATATCTATCTATCTATCTATCTGACTGTCTCTGTCTGTTTTATATGCATGCATGTATGTATGTATGTATCATCATCCCATAAATTCTGTCCGAATTTTGAATAAAGAAAACAAGTGACCAAATGTTACATTTAATTACAGATTCAATCAACAATGTATTTTCCCTGATTATCTATGACTTCCTTCCATCTATTAACAAGCTTACTAATTCTATTATTGTAAAATTCTTTTAGCTTTGTTTCGAACTCACAGATGTCAGTTTTAACCTCTTCCTCTGTTACAAAAGCTGTTTCTTCCAAATGATTCTGTAAGCTACGAAACAAATGGTAGTCTGAAGGAGCAAGATCGGGAGAATAAGGTGGATGAGGAATTTTCTCCCAACCAAGTTCTTCGATCTTTTGTGACGTGATTCTTGCTGTGTGGGGTCGCGCATTGTCCTGAATAAACATCACCTCTTTTCGATTCACTAGAGCAGGTCTTTTTTTTTCTCAAAGCTTGGTTCAAACGCTCTAATTGCTGACAGTATATTTGAGCATTAATTGTTGCATTAGGTGGTAAGAATTCAAAATGGATTATTCCTTGGCGATCCCACCAGATTGAAAGAAGAAACATTTGCCCATGAAGTTCCCTTCTCGGCTGCTGCTGGGGTCCTTCCCCTTTACAAAGCCACTGTCCACGACTCTTAACATTTCGATAAAAGATACATTTTTCGTCGCCAGTCACAAGTCTATCCAAAAAAGGTGAAACAAGTTGGCAAGAATGGAGAGAAGAGCAGATGTCAACTCGGGATTTGAGGTTGTTTTCAGACAATTCATGAGGCACCCATTTTCCAAGTTTAGGAACTTTTCCAAGTTGTTGAAGATGATGATGAACAGTTGTATGGTTTGAAATGAGAACCACTGCCAATTCCTCAACTGATAAAGCAGGATTTTCTTCAAGGGCTGCTTCAAGAAGCTTTTCATCAAACTCAACTGGACGTCCGGTTCGATCTTCATCTTCAAGGGTGAAATCTCCACCTCTGAATTTTGCAAACCATCTTCTGCAAGTTCTTTCATTCACACATTCCTCTCCATAAACTGAGTGAATGTTTCTAGCCGCTTCGGCTGCTGAGTTTCCTTTTTGAACTCATAAAGCATTATGTGCCTCAAATGATTCTTGGGTACTTCCATGTTAGCAGGGTTTTAATCAAACAAAATTTAATTTTATTGTTCTCTGAAATAAAATTTGATTAGTTTAAATGCATCTAAACATAAAAATAATGTTCAGCTCCATTAGACATTATAAAATACTCTTTAAATTTCGTTCATTTTAAAAAAAGTTAAAATTCGGACAGAACTTATGGGATGACCTGATATATATATATCTATCTATATATATATATATATATATATATATATATCAATCTATCTGTTATATATATTTTTGTCTTTTCATATTTAAATTTTTATGCTGTATGTTTGTTTGTATATATATATCTCTCTCTCTCTCTATTCTCTAAAATTTATATATATATATATATATATATATATATATATATATATATGTCATATATATTTTAACTATCTTTTTCATATTTTTCATTATAATATTATGTTTTTTTCATAAAAATAATCATATATGTCTTTAAATTTTTTAATGTACAAAATTTTTTTAATATGTTCCTATTATTTTTGTCATAAATATATATTAACAGACTAAGAACAAATCAAATATATATATATATATATATATATATATATATATATATATATATAAATATATATATATATATATATATATATATTGACACATGATAAAAACAAAAAGATAGATAGATATTAATCGATTGAGAGATAAATGAATAATTGAAAAAATATATATATATATATATGTAGATTTGAGAGAGATAGAGAGAGAGAGAGAGAGAAAGAACATCTTTAAATTAATTGAAAGGGATTTTCTTTTTATATTTATAGGGAGAAGATACATAGACTGAGTTCAAATTTGTATTAAAAAAAAAAAATATCCCGCCATATGACTGGTGTTAGTTTCGACTACTTCAGGTTGGAATGAAAGACAAAATTTTGTGTAAGGCAAATGCTTTGCAAATTTTTGAAAGAGGGACAATGATTTCAATTATCTTAATCTGACAACTAATGTCACCATGATATAAATCTCTCTCTCTTGATATATATATATATATATATATATATGTTAATGAATTAAAAAAATATATTTCGTACCATGTATAATCTCTCTATTGAATTGTCGCCATTTTATGTTTTTTAATTTCAGCGCATGCGCGTTGTTTGTTTTGTATTTTGTCGTCTGCACAAACAATGTAGGATTTTTTAGGCATTCTGTGAAAATGAAAATGACGCAATTCACTTTGCCAGAATTTTTAAACGTTATGTTGTTTTTGAAAATAATTCACGTTGGAATGCGCTTTGCAGGATGCTATATATAAATATATATAAGAATATGTATAGATCTATATCTGGACATTAACCATGTCAAAGAGACGGTTATTCATAAACCAGTAATCAAATTTATTGACCAACTTTATATTAAAACAAGATGCCATTATAAATACCTTCCGAACTTGATGCATGATATTTAAATGAATTAACAGATTCATGAATGATTAATGTCCGAGATAGCTCATAATAATTCTAATAATTCTTATAATACAATCACACACACACACACACACACTCACATTCAACACACACATTGTTAACATTTAAATATGTCAAAATGTCATTTTAATTGGTTAAAATGTTAGATTAAATTTAATTAAATTATATTCAGAAATAATTAAAGATATCTTAACTTTATTTTTCTTATAACACTATTGATTTATTTTAAAGCAATAAGAATTTATTTCTGAAAATTTTTTTAACAGCAGAATCGTGATGAAATCGATCATAAACGAAAATGACATGTTCATCATTAATTATAGCTAAGGATCGGAAGATCATGAAGGATTAAAATAAAGTTCAAATATATATATATATATATTATTTCAAGATCATTTTTCAACTTATTGAAGATGATCTTCGCCCTAAAGATCTTCTAAAATTGTCCTGTCTTTAATAATAAAAATACACATGTTTCACGTAAATTTCATTTTAAGTCTTTTTTTTTTAATACTGGTCTTTGGACTGTCATTTTAAAAAAAAAACCCCTCTCGCGTGCCAAACGTCTTATGTTTGATTTGGATCATTTTATAATTGCTTTCTTTAAAAAATACTGAAATTATATCAATTTCCTGTTGTGACCTTCTGATCCTGTTTTCATCTCTTCTTTTAAATTAAAATTAATCACTATTCTCTTGATGGTTCTTGAATGGACTTTGAAGATGGAAAACCCTTAACATGAAATATATTTATAATATATTAAATGCCTTAATGAATAAAAAATATTCAAAATTGCACTTTTGAAAAAGATTTTGGAAAATTGATATATTGAATTTTCATTTCAATTAATAAAAAATAACTGTTTATCTGAAAACCTTTTAAATTTGCTGATAATTTTCCATTTGTTTTTTTTTTAGATATTATTTGATTTTTTATGGGATTTAAAAAAAATTAAATTTTTTAGTTTCAAATTCATTTGGAACAATTTTTTAAAACATAAAAAAAAATAATTTAATGATTTTTTAAGCAAAAATTTCTATTTTTTTTTAGATTGTTTTTTAAAGGGAGTTTAAATATAAAATATTTGATTTTCCATATTAAAAAGTCAAACAAATTTTTAAAAAAAATGTAATTGAAATTTTTTTTTTTGTTAAAAAAATTTAAATATAAGAAAAGAAAAAAATTTTTTGCAATAAATTTTAAAAAAAGAATTAAATTTTGAAGAGAACAATATTTTGGAATAATAAAAAAAAACAAATGAATTTTAAAGCCTTTAAACATTGATAATAATTTCTTAATTTTTTATATATATATATGATATCTATATAATACATATTATAATATATATATTGATATATATATATATAAATTGTTTGTGTGTGTGTTTATTAAAATTTGAAAAAGGAATTTTATTTCTAATATAATTGTCAAGTATGAAAAGTCAAAAAAAAGTTGAATTTGCCAAATAAATTTGTTCATATTAATGAATCTGAAATTTTTGAAATACTTCTCATCTTCAAACATTCTTTATCT